CCCCCTCCTCTCTCTCTCTCTCTCTCTCTCTCTCTCTCTCTTTATCTGTCTCTCTTCGTACGTACCAATTTCCATCTGAGAAGACGTGTACGTTCCTGTCTCCCACGTAGTCTTATAGTAAAAGTGCAACGAGGAATATATAAACGTTGACGGTAGCGTCGAGATAGGTTGTTTGATTATTGCCGCGAGCAGTACACTGGCGTCGTCGACACTCTGCTTTAACCCCGTCCGAAATTTTCGATCGCGTCGATGGCCGAGTTGGGAGTTTTTGCTGCGTATGCACACGCGAAAACTTGCACCGGTACGGTCGACCCGCAACACCGTCGCCCCGTCCCGATCCGTCTCCACGTCTCCGTGTCTCCGGGCTGCGCCGCACAGTCAGTCGTTCGCCAGGAGTGAGCAGGTTTGTTGGTGCCGCGCGTTTCCAAACACACTAGCCGGTTCCTCGCACGTTACGCAATATTCTACGTAAATACATAATGCGTTCCTCTGAGCGTCGGGCTACGTCCGCACCGCGTCCGATTACTTGCTCCGCGGAGCGCCACCGCCGAAGGAGGCACTTTCGGCTTGCACACCCTCGGTATCACCAATTTCTTCCCTCGCAGTCGAGTCTCTCGACGGCGTATAATCGACCCTTATACCACAAAAGCTCTCTATCTTTCTTTCCCTCCTCCCTCTCTCTCTCTCATACTCACACGACACTCCTTCTCACTCACTCACTCATCCACTATCTCCACCTCTCTGTTCCTCTTCCGCTCGCGTTCTGTTCGCGCGTACGCACACACACACACACCGCGCGCGCGCGCGCGCGCACGCGCACACACACACACACACACACACACACACACACACACCTCTCTTCCCGCTCTCTTACTTTCTCACTGTCTCTCTCTCTTCTTCTACACTTAGATTCTCCTCCCTCTCTCGTAATTTCTGCAATCTCGCGCTTCACCAGCCTCTTCTCTCCTTCTCAATACGTTATTTTTTCACGGCCAAAAATCAGCAGAACTTTTAACGGGCCGGTTGGTCCTATCGTCCGCAAGAATTCACTGTGTTCTCTCACTTGCACGAATATGCGAACGCGCGCGAGAAATTCACTTCTCAGCAATGGTAAAATCTTGTCGTGTCGATAAACAAACGCAAAATAATACGCATCTCCCGTACGGATATGAGGCACGCATCACGTCGGACCTCGTTGCACTTTTCCGCAAGACGCGTACGTGAAATCGCTTTAGCTGCACAAACTCGCATAACTCACACTCCCTCCGTGGTACAAAGCAAACTATTGGATTTTGTGATGGCAAACAAGGAACCGACTGGTCCGTGTAGCGGGACGAGACGCGGTGGTGGAAGAGGGTACTGCGCAGAAGCGTACTGGCGCGACCAGCGGCGTCTCTGTTACCAACCACTCGCGGGTACTGCTACCGGCTGGTGCCTCCCACGCTCATCCGTGGCTATCCGTGGCGCGACAAGCGATGCGATGCGACGCTCGGCCTGAGAAAATTGCATCCGAAAAAACGGCATCGTGTTTCAATCGGAGGGAGCAATGTGTACAAACATCTTTCTATAAATTAAAATTGAAGCATATGCAATGATGTGCTATCATGTGAATAAACTTCACGCAATGAACTCCAATCGCAAAGTCGTGACCTAGCAATTTAAGACACTACTTCGTACATCATTACCGTAGCTCGCCAACACGATGCCGCCTAACCATATGTCGCTCCTGTCCGCACGTACGTACGCACACACACATATGCGCGCGCGCTACGCACGTCGTCAGTCAAAATCTGACATCGTAGTCACCTTCGAAATTTTTCAAAATAGAAAAATTGATCAGAATAAAGAGACGAATAATCTTTTTTAACTCAGTCGTGCTAATTCAAAAATATAGACGATTTATATCCATTTGCATAAAACGACACTTGGTGCGAACCGATAAGTACGCACGCGTGCAAATGGTGACACGGACGGATTTGTGATATTCAAGAATTATTTGACTTTCCGTCACTTATCCGATCAACTCTTGAAACTATTTATCCCTGCCGAGAGTATATACCTAGCAGTACGTTTCTATTGCATTCTGATACTTGCAAATTTGATTTCCATACGGATAATCCCGAAAAGGGATTAAAATACCTAAAACAGAGACCGATACATACGGCCCTGAATTGCTAAGCCATTAAGTGAGACAGGCGCAGAATTCGCCGAGTATCCGAGCATTTCCTTGCGACCGATGTTTCGCGGCTAGCAGCTGTTCCAAGAGACGAGCGAACCCCCCATCGAAATTTGGGTCATGGAAACTGCGCAAAAATAGCCCATTGCTGCGAGACGATCGCGTTATTTGTTGAAAAAACATTTTTAACCTTGCGATTTTTAACTGTGTGCTACGATATACAAAACGTCGCGGATTCTCGTCATACGTGCTACAATTTTCCATGCAAAATATGCTATGCGCTGTGACCATTCGATGTTTATCTGTCAATCAGCTTGACTGGTTACAAGCCAGAGAGAGCCACACGGATTGGCTGGCAAACTTTATTCGATGATTCGCGCGCGAATTTCAAACAAATTCATCATGTGGTGCTTGCACTTAAGCCCATGACAGTCGAATCCTGAAAGATTAAAATATTATCGAACGATTGTTTGCATGAGATTGCATATATAATGTTTCCAACATAAAAATTGATGGCATGAAAATATGGAAGCAGATTAGTCCTTTGTTGTATCGATGCCTTGCCACGTGACGCTTTACAATTTATAACCTACGAATTCGTACGTATTTACCGGTTTCTAAACTATATCTTAAAGTATTCATTTCTGCACCAAGTTTAATAAATTATTTGATTACACAAAACTTTTATAATTGCATTATTTGTATTCTTTGCCAAAATAAAGCTGACAAAGTTTTGCACTATTGTTTACATGTTGATATAATGAAAGAATAAAACGTTTTGTGATACAGTGATTCTTGAATGTATGTTTATCAGGATATATCAGGATATAAATGTAGAATTAAAAACAAGAAAATTAATGAAGTTATATATTATGCTATAAATAATGTACATCACCCAATACTTGAATTTCAACGCAATGGTATCCTTAATGTAACAAAATAGGATAAGAATTTGAAAAAATACGCATTAACATTTTATCTGTTTTATAGGATCTTCAAATTAATAAATCACAAAAACTATTGTGTATAATAATATCAACATATTCATAGATTATTTTGTCAAGATGATCAAAAATGTTGTTGTCGGTATATCCGGTGGTGTGGACAGTGCAGTGACAGCTCTGCTACTTAAAAATAAAGGTTGGAATAAAAGAATGAAACTTAGCTTTATTTTTTTACTATATACTTATCAAAATGAGTATGTGTTTTTTAAGGGTTTAATGTTATTGGTGTGTTTATGAAAAACTGGGACATTAGAGATGAAACAGGAAATTGTATGGTTGAAAAGGATTACAATGATGCACAATGGATTTGTAATAAACTGAAAATCCCTTTAGTACAAGTTGATTTTGTAAAAGAATATTGGAATGAAGTCTTTAGGTATTTTCATCTTTCTAAGAAAAAGAATACACCTAACATAATTTTTATTTAACCAATTTTTCCAGTGATCTTGTGGAAAAGTATCAAACTGGGTATACTCCAAATCCAGATATTTTATGCAATAAGAACATCAAGTTTAATAAATTTTTTCATTTTGCACGTAAAAAATTTCAAGCAGATGCAATTGCAACAGGTCATTATGCTAAAACAAGCTTTGGATCTTATCTAGAAAACTATGAAGCAGACACAAGTAAGTATTTCATATTAAGTGAAATTATTGCAATAGTCAACTATTTCTTAGAGCAATAATGTAACTATAATAACTATGTAGATGTACACTTGTTGCAAGCCCGTGATAGTAATAAAGATCAAACATTTTTTCTACATCAAATACCACAACAAACTTTGAGATGTTGCATGTTTCCTCTTGGAAATTATTTGAAAAGTCATGTCAAAACAATAGCCAAAGAGGCAGGCTTGTACCAAATAGCACAAAAAAAGGAAAGCATGGGTATCTGTTTTGTGGGAAAACGTGAATTTCAAGATTTTATTTCAGAGGTAAAAGATATATTGTCATACTCTACAGATACTGTACAAATTTTGTGCGTACATGCAAAATTAAACACACATTTCTTTAAAATTTATATATATATATATATATATATATATATATATATGTGTGTGTATAAATAGGTAGTAATATATATAATTAAAATGACAAATATAAAATAAATAAAATGTAACAACTATAACAATAATTTTTTTAATGACTATAGTATATACATGATAAACCAGGTGATTATGTAGACCTAGATAGTGGATTAGTAATAGGTAAACATAATGGCATTCATAAGTGGACAATAGGACAAAGATGTAAGATCAGTGGTTGTCTGAAGCCCTATTATGTATTTAACAAAGATCAAGAAACAAATACCATTCTAGTGGTATGTAAAAAAAAGAAATTTTTATAGGAAATGAGTATAAAACTAATATATTATTAACACAGAACTTACTAAATATATATTGTTATAGGTAAGTGGTACAACTCATCCGGCATTATACTCTGATTCCTTAATTACGCAAGATGTTTATTGGATGAATGAGGAGCCGCATGAATTAAGTAATGGCGGTGTGTTACACTGTGACTTCCGTTTTCAGCATAGAAATCCATTAATTGCTTGCACTATGTATAAGATGTCCAACAATCATTTGTTTATCCGCCTTAGCATATCTTTAAGAGCGATTACAAAGGGTCAGGTGATTTAAAACATAAAAATATATCTGCTCTCGTTTAGCTCAATATTTTATACATGATAGCAATAAAATTATAAAAAATTACATTTTTTATATAATCATGTTTTGTTTTAAAATAAACTAAAATATAATTTATGCTTATTATATGTCTTTAGTTATTAGTAAATTAGATAGAAAATATGTAAATTTATAAATTATATGGATCAATTTATATGAATTTCAGTATGCTGTTTTATACTACAAAAAGGAATGTTTGGGTGGCTCAATGATATTATATCCAGGACCATCTCATTTTGCGCTTAATCGGCAACATTAGGTTGAATTTAGTTCTAATTTAGTAACATCAATTTTAAATGTGAATAAATATTAATTAATAAAGTATATTTTATATTAGTAAAATTTATTTTTTTGAATAATTTCAAGAAAAATTATGTAAGGATTTACTTATAACAAACACGATTTTTTTAGTATATTTTAATATAAATTCTCTTTTGTTTAATTTTTTTTTCATTTTATGTAAACTTTAATTATATGTGTACTAGGGAAAATAAAAAAAGTAAAGGAATTTAAGAAATTAAATGTACTAAAAAATTCTTTACTTTTTGACATTTCCTCGTATTTAAATATAATCATCGCAAAATCGATACAAATTTAGCACATAATATGTATATATATATATATATATATAGAGAGAGGAGAGAGAGAGAGAGAGAGAGAGAGAGAGAGAGAGAAATATAATATAGAAATTTTCTACATATATAGAAAAATTGAAAAGTGATTATATATTTATATACTTTTATTTATATATTTATATACAAACATATAATGCGCTCGAATTTTCATCTAGATGCTAATTCAAGTTGCAATTGTCATTTTCAATTTTTCTAAATAGTGTTATAATAAACTTTATGGTACTTCATACAGAACTATACACTTATATGTTAATAACCATTACAATCAATATCAAATTAGAAGAAATACGAGCAAGTTATCTGTGCAGTTTAAAGAAAAATGCCATGTATAAATATAAGAGATGAGATGAAAGAAAAACAATTTAATTTGTAACATTAGATGTGAGGAAGATATAAAAAATATAAAAAAATACAAGTCACTAGCTATTCCAGGTGCGATTCTAATTATAAAATATTATAGCCATTATCGTTTAAAAGCATTGATCAAATAAATACTATTTATATATTCAAGATATTACATGTAACATGTGTCTGCAATTTTGATCACGGACGGATCTTTAAATAACAATGAAGGTCATCCCACGGAAAATCAGCGCAAACGATTATAATAGATTTCGTTGGAATATCTTACCTAATTATGATGATTATTTCATTGAAGGAAATGACAATACTGAAAGTAAGCGTAACAACATGCAAAATAGAATGTTTTAAACATTTAACCCTCAATTTACCATGGAAAAATGTATAAAAAAAAATTACCAGTCGAGTCCATTGGATTCATATGAGAAAAAAAGTTATAATGCAGAAAAATATTATAAAAGAACCTCATTTTAGGAAAAGTAAAAAAAGTCACAAGTTATTTCATTCACATTTAAGTAAAAAATAATGACAATACGAATACAACTAAGTTCATTGGACCCGTTTGATAGACGGAGAGTTAAATTTCAAAAAAAGGAACTGTTTTGAATGGTTTAAAAAAAGTGAGAGCATTAATGCTCTTAGCGCTCGTTACAAGTTTACATTATTTTTGTATATTGCATTTATGCGTAATGTTATGCAACACATTGCATAAATGTTATGGAATATTACAAGTTGGGTGGTTAAGGAATGATCGGTGGGGATGAAGGAATGATCGGTGCGTTACGACGAGATGGACTCAATAACGATGAGGTCGCGCATAGAATGTGAAATATAACGTATCGCGTTATTGAACGATAACTGCTAGTTATTAGAGTCGATTGACGAGTAACTCGACATAAGGAGCGCGTAAAACGTGTGCGTACACGTACAAAGCCGTGTCTCCGACTTGGTCGTCACTCTCGCGATTGGTGTTGCAGGGGCGATCTTATGTATGTAAATTACTGGTACAAATGTCGCTCGGCAAATTTACTCTCATTCATAAGCATTCGTCCATTCGATACGTTTCAGTGACACTCGTACTTTGATCGGACGCGCGTAATAATCTTCGCTCGACTCTCGATTTTCGTGCACATAATATCTCGTTCGCGTTATCCGCGTTGTCCTCTGGCTGTAGATCTAGTCTATCAAGTACGCCGTTCAAAAAAACATAATACGCGCTATCGAAAACACGTGCAAGAACAGATAAACAATTGTATTGTTTCCGAAAGTAAGTTAAATAATTGAAAGCTCTCTCTCTCTCTCTCTCTCTCTCTCTCTCTCTCTCTCTCTCTCTCTCTCTCTCTCTCTCTCTCTCTCTCTCTCTCTCTCTCTCTCTCTCTCTCTCCTCCCTCCCTCCCTCCTCTCTCTCTCTCTCTCTCTCTCTCTCTCCTCCCTCCCTTTCCTTTCTCTCTGTAGAAAATCTGTTTTTTTTCTTTAATATTTAGATAATTTAAGTAATGAACAATTTGTTATTAAGAAATGAGTAAATTGCAAGAACTCGAGGGTACTTGTAGAAAATAAAGTTTTACAGCTTTCTTATATCTGATAGTAAGAAATATGTTTGCTTTAATATATTGCATTTTATTCCTATTTTTTTGCAATGCTTTTTATTGCTTTTTGCTTGCATACAAATTTTTCAACTATTATTTAAATATTGTTTGTTGTTTATATTGCAGTTTATAAACAATGTTAGATTTAGCATAAGAGTAAGCGAAGAATAAATGTAGTATTTTTGTTTCTTCTATATGATTGATTTATAGTCTTTGAATTTTCAATAATCCAACAGTTGTTTAATTGATTTCTAAAATCTGTTTATAAAGAGGTATTTATTTTAACTTAACATAAGGGTATTAAATTGGGTATGAAACAGTGGCGCACCCTTGGGATGGGGGGAGTTTTGGGGGTTAAAATTCCCCTCCAAAATTTATATATATATATATATATATATATATATATATATATATATATATATATATATATATATATA